GGCAAATCATTGTAGGCAGTCGAGTTCTTCATGACTGTTTAGTCACTATGTTGTTTACTGAAATTCTTATTGTCAACCTGTTGCTTGCATGACTAGAGATACACTGCCTGAGCTCTTCAATCTAATACCAGATTAAAAATAAGATGCAATAACATAAGACTCTGGAACACATCCTGATTATGATCAACTCTCAATACGGTGTCATATTTTATTCAGTAACACAAAGTCGGATTTTATTTAGTAAGTCACAGTCGCTTGTCGGATGGCATAATGAAGGCTGATCTTGTAGGATTTAGGAAGCACTATGTGATTAATGAGTATCCATGTTGCAATGTTGTAGTTATTAGCATGTGCCATTCTGGTCCTACTGGCAATTCGTCACTTTCTGTGTAAACAGACACAGGTTTGGAATATAAATTTTCGCATGAACCATCAAAAATCAATAACAATCTTTGTGATTTAGCAGCCTGTGCCAGTCAGCTAAAGATGGCAAATGACCTTTGTGGTTCTAACTGCGGAGATTGTAACTTTTCATCACACTCCACTATTTCTGACGTATTGATTTTAAGAATTCAATATTTGACATAACTTTCATTTCCATTCAGTCCCAAGATTACAGTATTACTAATGTGCTTACAGTTTCTATTCAGGTCACAAGATTTCATTGATATCCTTGAAGGTGCATAAATGCTACTTGGTTGAACTGTTTACAGATAGGCATATGTTACGAGACATCTTACTGAGTTATTTTTCTCCGCCTAGTTTTCTTCTCCAGTTTTCTTTCCGCCCCTCTCTGAAGGTATTTAACTCCTTTTTATTGCTATTGAGATACAGTTCTAAATAACTCCAGTACCTCACCACTATGGCCAGGTTATTTGACCTTTTTCAGGTATCACAGCTGAACGCATCACTGTCCTTGCTCAATGTCCTTACACATACACACACATAGTCTTCCAACGGGGATCTTTGGAAATAAATCATGAGCAGGACAGGGATGCTCCCACCAATTGTAGTGACCTGACTGCTGTCACCTCAGCAGAGACTGAGTTCATATCTGCAAACTTCTGGTCTGTAAGACCCAGTGCTCATGGAGGCTGTCATTACCAATTGGCCATCAGGGAGTTGAAACAACTGCTGAACAGCAAGCCAGGTCTTAACGCAAGTTTTTATTTCCAAATTGTATTCTGAACGGTCTCTGCCTGCGGTATATGTTTTGTTGGCTTTACTTAATTTTTGCTTTGCTCTTGTGTTGTGAGACCTTCACTGGGAATCATTAGAATAATTTAGGTATTTTCACAGTGCTGCTTTTAGCAGTGACATCTGAGTGATTTGTTCACCTATACGTACTATGGCTTTTGTTACAATATTGTGAATTGACTGTGAAAATAATAATAATGGACACGTAGTAAAATCTCTCGAGTCCACTGTGAAGCACACACCCCAATGAGAAGCTTAGATTATACATGGCTGAGTAGATGAAACCGTGGCTGAGTGATTGAATTATTAATTTTAAAGTATGTGTTTTGTCCACATGGATCCATCTTTATTAAGATATGAAAGGACACTCCAGGACACTGCCAGCCTGGCTATCTGTAGGAATTGTGGGGGGAGTTGGGGAGCGGACAAGTCACTGTAGGTGGGAATTCTTCCTACTCAGATCCCATTAACACTGCAAGCTTTGTCCTAACAGGTAGGATGGCTCTAAATGTACAAGCAGCGAGACAGCTTGATGGACAGTGCTTTCAATAGCAAGCTATGGGGTTTTAGCTAGTTAGACTCCAGCAGTTATCCCAATCCACAAACTCTGGGTCCCCAAATCTTGGCTTTTGCCAGCCTGCGCCTAATAATCTCCAAAGTTAGGCAAGTAGCATGCGGCCTCCAGGGAGAGAATGCGCATTCCATTCCACCGAAATTTCCATAATTTCCAGTATTTTGTTGTGTTAATTCCATGGTAACCATTTAGGCTGTTACTGCGAACAAAGGCCCCAAAATTCCACCGACAACAACTTCAATATCGTTGCCAGAGCAAAGTCTTCTTGCCTCAAGTGTGAGAAAAGAACTGAATTTATCTTTAAAACATACAAGAAAAGGGATACACGGAAATTGTACTGTATCATGCATGCTCCCAGCAGCAAAACAAAATGTTAGCAGTGCCTCACATTCGTACCATTGCACCCAGTTAAAAAACGCAATGATTTCTGAGATTATAGAAAATTTCTGATTGTTCATCAAAACATCTGAAGATGAGTCATGATCGAAGAACTCTCCAGCCCAGACGTAGAGAGTTTACATTCAACACAGATTGAATCTACATTGTTAAATCTTTAACTGCTGTCATCCTAGGAGAGCTGTGAATGGAAGAGACCTAATTGAATAGGGATTTTCATTTTCTGGCAGGCTGTGGTGGAGTGATTGAATACAAGGTTTGTGTGTATGTTTGTTCTGTGTGTGGTGTGTGTGTGTGTGGGAGAGGAGGGGGTGGGTGGTGGGGAGTAGATAGGTTGATCAATAACTCTTTGCTTCTTAAAAATCCACGCACCTTGCAATTCAAAGGCCCCATTCAATCCTTATCTTTGTGGGTTGGTGTTGCATATTTTTTGCAGCCAACATCATAAAGGATGTTAAACACGTCCATGCTGATATTTGTAGGTATAACAGTAAAATACAAATTTAGGGAATCAAAAGTAAAAATGTGAAAATGCTGCAAATTCAGGTTAATCCGCACCTGAAAGAGGAAAACAGGTTAGTATTTCGGACTCTCCGACCTGCTTACGCCTAAACCCACTACTTGTTGCCTCCGCTTGCCTACTGCTCATGTCCCTCGTGCCCTCCATTCCACCATCAGTGGCCAGGCTTTCGGTCACTAGGCCCCGAAACTCTGGAACACGCAGAGGCAAGCCCAACATTGGAAGCAACTAGGAGTAAAAAAATGGCTCTTTATTTCGGTGCTGAACTTGGACGAACCCAACTAAGATGACCCATTGCCAGGGCACAGAGCAGATTCGCTTCTGTAACGGAAAGACTGCCAAAGCAATCAAACACAATAAATACATCCCACTCATGTGCCAATGTCTGTAAGGTGATGATCCAGATGCATTATAATAATCCCCGAATTTAAAGTGCCTTATCACTTTGCACATGCATGTGCTGCACCATTATTTGTATTTATGTAATTTCCTCGATTAGATGTAGCAGGACCAAAGAAAAGGCGGGGGTTGCAGTCATCTGATATTCACAGCATCCCGTGGAGATCACAGAACTGAATTTCTATTGGTGTCGTGCATGAATGATGTACCTGTTGTCATTTGTTATTAACTCAATGACATCAGATGTTCTTGCGCACACATGACTTGTTTTACAACAAATGCCTTTGGGAAGCGACAGAGGTGATTTGAAATCAGCAAATATGCCCCCAATGTCTGGAATTCCTTGCCTCAATCCCTCTGTCTTGCACCCTCTTTGCCTGTTTTCAAATTGCACCTGAAGACTTTCCACTACTTTGGTCACATCTCCTCACTTTAAGCGCTCTGAGACACTACCTGTGTGAAACAGTACTATATTAATGCAAGTTGTTGTAGTAAAAGTGGCAAAGGCAATGTAAAAGCAGTGGAGTTTTAAAATGTCTTAAGTTCAGACAAAACTTTGAGCCATCAGCCTCACAATATAAAAGTGGCACAATTAGAAGCTACAAAGTTAGAGCCACTGACTCCTTGCTCATAGAGACACTGTTAACAGGTAAGGGTATTCATAATACAAAGCAAATAAGACCTCAAAAGTCCAATGTCCAGGTAGGTATATGTGAGGTAAAAGCATGCAGTAGGGGGCGGAGGAGAGACAGCAGAAAGAAGGTGTAATGCCAAGTGCTCCTCTGTGAAAAACAAAACCATGGAAAATGGGATAACAGAATAGAGAAACCAGCTGAGGTGCAAAGACATTTAAGTCAATGTTCATGCCAGTGGCTAAAATGTGCCCCTGAGCACTGCATCGTCAGAGATGCTGTCCTTCAGATGAAATGTGAAACAAAAGTCTTGTCTTTCTGTTTGGGTGGACATCAAAGATCCCATGAATAACGAAGGGAGTTTTTAATGTTGTCCCAGCCAACCCTTCAGAAAAGTTGATCATTTACTTCAACGCTGTTTCGGGGACATTGCTGTACGGAAATTGATTCCATTTTCGCTTACAAGCACAACTATATATGCCTGTAATTACTGTGATAACACTTTGAATCATTTCAACGTTATAGGTGCTATAAAATCAACATTTAACTTATTCCCTTGTATCATGAACTTTATTTTCCGTCAGAAACATTTATTTGCGTAATGATAGCTATTATTAAATTTCGGTCTTGCATCTTGTTTTCTCGTGCTGTTCCTCATCCCCTCCTCAGTCATCCAAAAAAGCCCTCTCCACCCGAACCGTACCAATTTTTGTTCAGGAGTCACACATGAAATAAAAAATATAATCCTTGTATTTGATATAGTGCCTTATCACATCATCGAAACTATGCCTCAAAGAACTTCACAGAATTTACTGTAAATCGTAGCGGCTGTGTATTTGTAGGCGAACAATAACCTCTCTTTCAGGAACCGTGTATTTCCAAAAGTCATTGAGTTTATTTTGTTCTGAAAACTATATTGGGGGCTAACTGTCGTGGTCACTTTTTAATTGTCTGTCAGTGCTGTGTAAGTGGGGAGGATGGGGAGAGAGTTATTTATAATGTTCATATATTTTACAAAGGGTGTTCAGAACCTTTACAGTTTCCAAAAGGTTTGAGATAAGAGCAAATAATATGTTTGCTCTTGTGCTGCAAGATGACAGTTACAAGTGGTTCCTTGCGGTTTATTGAATAATTTCAAAATGTTTCGAACTTTCTAGAGACTAATTCTGTGATACTCAAAAGACTGGAGATTGTTTTAAAATGAAAACAATTTTTTCAGCTTAAAAAAAACTTTTGTCTGTTCCCTTTCAAACCCTGTGTTTATGTTTTTTTATTCCTGCAGTTCAACAGAGGATTCCTTTCGCTGGCACACACAAGGTAAAGGATCGTTTCAACTTTCTCACCGCCCTTGCTTTGAAGGGGTTAAACACTGCACACTTTCCATGCTGTTTCCTTGTTCCCTATCCTTTAATGAAGACTAGCTCTATGCAAAAAAAAACAATGAAGCTTTCCATTCATTGATGTTAAAGTGCAGATTGGTTGAAGTGTCTGGTAATCAGCTGCCCAAGGTTAGTTTAGTTTTAAGGAAATTGTTTTTTTTGTAATCCTGCCTCATGCAGAGGACCTCTCCCCTTGGCAGCTTTTATTATCAATGCTGAAAAACTAGCAGTAATTGGTGCCGGCACAAAAGCTGATGGAGAACCAGAGTGCAATTTATTTCTGATTGTGAACCGAGTGATGAATACCGCTTTAATTTCTAGGAGATGAAAGAGTTTCTTGACTTTCTTATCGTCACAAAGCTTCAGACCTTGTTTGTGATCAAGTTGTGGAATTTTAATTGCTCAGCTTCTTCCCTTTCTGTACGTACATGTTTCAGATGGACAGAAAGCGGCTGATGATGAGATCACTAGTGGCTTAGAGCTGGTGGATTCATGCCTTAGATCTCTGCAAGAGTCGGGGATATTGGACCGACAGGACTATTCTTCGACTGAAAGTGAGCCCCTTTAATTTAGCATTTGTTGTGCAATGTTTGTCATTTGAATGAGTTATTATTGCCTTTGCTCGGATTGGCTAAGTCTCCAGACGGGAAGGACATAAGCCTGAAATTGCACCTAGCCTTCGGCTTAGCTTTCGTCTTCAAATTTAAAATCATAGCAGAATGATGGAAAAGTCCTAAATCCAGGCTTAATTTAGAAGCCGTTTTTCTGCAGCTTTTAAAAAGACACCAGCTTCCAAATTAAGGCGGAATTTTAAGAATTTTCCACAATTCTGTACAATTGTTAAGTTTCAAGGCTAAGACGAGGCGGGATTTTGAGTTGTGTTCATGTGCCTTACATTATCGGGTTATGTGAAATCCTTATTAAATAATTAATGCCTTTCTGCTTCATTGAAGACTTCTCTTGTCTGCTTGAAATTACAGGGCCTGGTATTCTCTCCCAGAGCACAACTCAGATAAACTCCAACCCAGAGGGGGCTTACCAGTACTCGGCCATCTACCACAGCAACCAGACCCTCACCCGGGGTGACTCAGCAACATCGCAGCTCGCCGCAAGGACCTCCAGTGGTCAAGTCGGAGCAGGAATCGGCATCTCAAACTACAGCCAGGTACACAGCACAAAACAGCGCAACCAAAAAAATCCTCTTCACGCAGAAGAGAAGGGGAGCACGCCGCCAAGGCAGTGCTCTCAACTCCCAACACACAGGGTCTGTGTAGCCCAGGTGCATTTATTAAATTATTGCAATGTTCTTCCATTAGCAGCTGCAACTGAGGACTTCAGCCTGCCTTGGGAATAGTTGCTAATTGAAATGCACCGTGCACTGATCTGATTGAGTGTGTTTTCTGTTTTTCACTTGCCCTGGGGGTTGGATGGGAGGCAGGCAAATGAGGGTCGAGTGTGGGGATGCAGGGATTGCACACATATGACCCAGATAGCAGTCGGTTATCTTTGTGGTCACTTCAACAAAATAACTTTGCAAATGCAGCGTATGACAGTCGAGGTAGTTCCTTTATGAATAGAGAAACTGAAGCAAGTGCTTGTCCTTTGCTAATGGGCAGAGCTTGGGGTCGGGAGGGGTGGGGGCTTATTGCTTATTCTGTTGTGACATTCATGTTCGCTATGGTAGGCCAGAGTTAGCTTTTTCTTCATTGCAATGGCAGGCATGGGAGCTCGTGTAGGGAAGTGAAGCTCACTCATACATTCATGTGGGAGTGTGGCGAGATTGTGTGTGGTGGGGGATGGAGGGGGTTCAAGAGAATCAGATGTTGGTTGTGTTTTTGTGTGAAATCTTACAGCTCAGACGGTATTGGAGTCATAACAGTTGTTGCTTTGTCTGTGGGGTGGATTTAGTTCTCCCAGCAAGAGCCCAGTTCCAGACAGACATTCCTGACACCAGCACGGACGGGTGTGACTCTTACCGGCAGCAGAAAGAGATTGTGGAGAAATAGGGCTAATAATTTCAGCTTTTCCTCTGAAAAAAATAATATTCTTTCTTTTCGCGGTTCTCTCTTGTTGCACAGATTAACAAGGTCGGGGACACCGGTCGCACATCTGGGTCTGAGTCTTCCCCATCCCATTCTGCATCTCAGTCCAGGGAAGCTTTTGTGCCGAGCCATGGTAGCGCATTCCGGTTACCAGACTCCCAGCATCCATCTTCAGTCTACTATGTCAGTGCCACCCTGCCAGCACAGAGAGTGAGCTCCCCTATGTCTCTGCAGAGGGTGGGATCGCCCCCCAAGCTCCAGCGGGTGGGATCCACCGCAGACGGCTATGGCACCCAGCGGGTCTCCTCCCCCAAGCAGACGTGCTCACCCAGCAGGCTGTCCAAGTCCTACAGCACCAGCTCCCCCGTCAACATTGTGGTGTCCTCCGCAGCTCTCTCTCCCTCGCCCATCCGCGTGATTTCTCCGCCAAATGCCCAGACCAGCATCACCTCGCCTGTGCATCAAGTGAGCGCCACCCAGTCCAACTATGCCACGCTTTCTCCTACAAAACGGCTGGCCCACACGTCTGATCAGTACAACAAGCACACCCAGGAGCTGTACGATCGCTCTACTCTCCAGAGACCCGGCAGTTTGGCAGGTAAACCAGTTCAGCGGTCGGACAGATCCATTGTCAGTGCTTATATTTCCTGCGGCTTTTTATTTTCACAAAGGAAAAGACGAGAGCAGCTTGTAAATTGAGTCCTTCTTGTGGAGCTGAAGTGAACTGATAATTGGTTTAACCCTTTCAAGTATGTAGCATTGCAGTAATTGGTTTAACCCTTGCTGGCATTAGTTTGGGCAGCCTGACACGTGCAGAAGTCCAATCACCAAGCTTAAGAGACTATATAAACCAGACTGAGAGTTCCACATAGGTATGTGTATTGTATTCTTTGTTAGTAGAGACTTGGGGACTCTTGAGTAAGCGTTGGGGGTACTGCTGCAGGTTAACCAACTAAAACTACACAAGCTTACTGCTGCTTGTCCAACTAGGACCAGGAAATTAGTTGGTTTCCAGGGTTAACAGCAGCTGAGTGCAAAGAATCCCTGCCCTCAATCTGCCCCTCCAAGCCCTGCCAGTGAGCCAGACTAGCACCAACATTGTATTGAAGTATTGTCTCAGGAACCAGATGACTGAGACTGCCTCATTGCCAAGCATGTTGCTTTGGAGCCAGTTCAAACCCAAGCAGACTTCACATACTGCTTCCCCACCTCCTGCCCCAGGAGGATAGTCACTACTTGAGGGTTTAAGCCCTCTCTAGGTGAATGATAGGTACCTGCGACTACTTATAAGCTTTACTGATGGGCAACACAGCTCAGCATGAAATGTGCAAGAGCATTGCCACAATCTTCCTTTCCACAGCTCAGACACACATCCCTTCCCAATTGAACGTTGGTTTGACCAGTTGGAGGTGAGGAGTTTGAGCAGCAGGTGTTTACCTCTCTGAAAACAACAAACACTTGCATTTATATAACGCCCTTCACACAGGATAGTGTCCCAGAGTGCTTAATCGAAGTGGATAGTTGAGGGACTTTGTCAAAGAGATGTACCTGCTGTGAAATTGACTGTCCCAATTCCTACCGCACCAGCTCCCCCATCAACATTGTGTGTGTGTGAGGGAGGGAGAGCGAGAGAGAGAGAATTGTGCTCCGCCATTGTCCTGGGACACTACCCTGTGTGAGGAGCGCTATATAAGTGCAAGTTGTTTTTGTAATTGGCTTAACGCATTTAAGTATCTGATGGTCCCGTGGTTAGTTTAACCCTTCAAGGTATGTGGTGGACCTGTAGCTAATTTGACCCTTTAAAGTTGGTGGTTGACTTTCTTTACTGTGTCAGATAACAGAGGTTAACATTTGGTATCCGGTACATTGAATATATCTGGTATGTACCACACCTCATGCATTCTTTACTTTTAGGAAATTGATGGGTGGAGACATTATGTGTACCTTAAATTTTCTTTCTCAGACTTCAAAAGATGGAGGTGATTTTTTTTGTCAGCCATCCTCATTTCACCTCTTCTATCGGTGATAAGCTGCATGTTTATCCACATATACATTAGCAGCAAAAGGACAAGATTGTGTTTGAATGATTAGCTTTGGAATTAACTGCTGAAAAAAGATTGGATTAACGTCTGGTTGGATAGACTGTTGGTGCCATTTCCCTATCCCAGTTCAGGGCTCTTCAGAGTCATGACATGTAATGGGTAACGTAATGACTGCCCTTTGCAGCTGGAACTGAAGTAATACAAGTAATGCTCTTGAAAATGCACAAAATCACACTGTTACCTTGTAGAGACATTTAACTTGGGAGCATAGGTGAAAACCTATTGCTACTCTGTCACTGCTTTATGATATGAACTACAAAAGTTGGAGATGCCCACTGGGCAAGTTTCACCAATTCTCAGCTGTACTGCAAGAGCGAGCACTGTGTGATGGAAAAGACAAGTCTAGTTCTATTCGTAAGGGATCGCTTTTGTTCAAACACAGAGCAGTATACTTGGTGCTTATAAAGAAATCTGTTGGGGTAAAATATAATGTCAATTAAATGATTGGTTAAAATAGGGAACTATAACTGGGAGCTTTTCATGCTGGAAAGAGGTTGTGAGTAGTTTATTACAGGAATTTTCCTGTGATTCTTGCTATTTTCAATATATAGCAGTATCAGAAGATGGTATTATAAACAAAATAAGTTTGCAGGCGATCGAACAACTGGATTCAGAAGCATTTGGTTCCTTTTAATAATGGGGTCAGTAAGTGGCATCCGCAGTTAATGTGTTGAAGTGTAGTTTTATTAATCTGGGTGTATGAAAACAAAGACTAAATATAACAGTCATACAGTGTACTAATTAAGAAAGGTTAGGGATTATTGTAGATAAATTGGTGAAACACTAATGTCAGTGTCAGCCTGCTGCCAATTGGCAAGTAAGATATTGCATTACATCAGCAAACATTGGTTTTGAAATCAAGAATGATTGTATCTTTTCTTCATAAGGCATCGTTCAGACCTCATCTGAAACATCTGGGTGCAAAAGGTATCATCCTAGATAATTCCAGGTTTTAGGCACATAATTTATGAGGGGAGGTTAAGGAAAGGAAAGTGGCTTTGTACTCTTTGGGAGAGAGATGTTTCTGAGATTAAGTAATTTATCTTTTCAAGCTAACAAAGGGATTGACAAAGTTGGTGATGCCATGTTATTGTTCATGGTGAAAGGTTTAATTTCAGGGATACAGGTTAAAAATAAAAGGGTTAAATGATTAAATAATAACAATAATAATTCTTGTATTTGATAGACATTTTATCAGGTCAACAGAACATCTCAAAGAGCTTCACTGTGAAGGGTAGTGATTGTGTCGTCCTCCCGACTTGAAAGACACTATACAAATTTGTTGTTTGTTTTGTATTTTTTAAACAAATTTGATAGCCTATTTGCACCAAGCAATAAAGTGAACACTCAATTTATCTGGAGGAGTGGGCCAGGACACTGAGAGAAACTCCCTTCTCTTTTTGAATAGTTCTTTGGGATCTTTAATGTTCATCTGAACAGGCAAAAGGGGATCTTGGTTTAATGCCTCATCTGAAGGACGGCACCACTTTAAGCGCTTCATCGAAATGTCAACCTGGTTTGTGAATTCAAAGTCCCAATTTGAGATGTGAATCCACAGCCATCTGACTCAGAGATAAGAGTGCTACCAACTGAGCCAGGTTGACACCTGGCACACAGAATGATAAAATGTGGAATGCATCAATACCGAACACCATCAAAGTGATATATTTTTGGTTCAGGACAGAAATAAGGGAGAAATAAGGGATTCAATGAGAATAAAAGTGCAGTGGAGCTTGTTTGAGCTATGTTATAATTGGGGTAGTGACATCCTCCTAGCATGTAGAGGTAAGGAGATGAGTAAAAATCAGAAATTGCAGGGTAGGGAAGAACACAGTCAAAATAAGTTGATTCACTTCCTCACTAAATTGGCTCTTGCAAACTGCATGTTGCAAACACCTGCTGTATACAACCTTTTAAGAACCTGTTAGAGCCAGCTGAGTGTAGACGAATTGCCTTTCTCTGGACTTCACTTACTTTCAGAGGCCACACTACGCCCAATGGGATGTGTAATGTGAGGCAGTTCCTGCTACTGATGGCTCAGCCTGCCTAACCCTTGGTTCCTGGGTGACTGTTATCATCTGTTAATAATGGGAAGTGATCTTCTGGTTGGCTGGCTGGCTAACACTAATAATATATAGCCACAGCGTACCTACATTGGAAAATGGACTTGTAATCCAAGAAAAATATAACTGCCATCTTTTTGTATTGTTTTTTCTATTATGATAAACTGCTGCATGAGAAGCTTTACATTATTCTATTATTGAGAGTTTTATTTTTATTTCAAGGTGATCATACTTGGCTGGGCTTTCTTGGTTCTGCACCCTGTTGTCAACAGGGGTGTAATTTTACCACATTCACAAAAGGATTTAAAAACGGAGCATCTTACACAATGTGTTTGCGGCTAGCCCTCTGGAACACAGCTCGGACCTGCTCTGACACCAATCTACAATTTTGCGCCATAAACCATATACCTTGCAGTAATGGTCAGCCTGAGAACCGTGCAGATACCTGCAGTATTAGCGGTATAGGTTAGAAATTGTTTTCTGAATCTTACAAATAATTCGTAAACCGTACTTTTTCCCCTTTGTGACCAATATATCACATTCATCTAAGTGAATGGGTATCAGAACATGGAATGGAATCCTTTTCCGTTTGGGGCACCCAGTGTATCGATATAAAGTCGTGTACCAAATGCAAGGCTTATTACTAGTTATTAAAGCCAGCCCCACAGGAGACTAAAGCACTTACTGTGCACCGCCTGACAGCAAGCTCAAGCGTGCCATTGGTGGGGTCCACTGGCTACATGAAGAAAGAAAAAGGGCTAAATCTTTTTAAATCATAGAAATGTGCGAGCAACACCCCCAAAAAACACACACCTGTTAAAAAAATTGTCTCCTCATCCCTTAACAGTGTGTGTTACCCTCCAGTCTCTGGAAAGGATCCCCTGTTGAATGACAATGAATGTTCATGTTTCTCAGACCAGCCAATGTTCAGTCTGAGTGACAATTTAACCAGCACCAGTTGGTATATAAATAGGTGTGTGATTTTTGAGATGATGCCAGTAGTGACCTACTTTGTCTCCTGTGGGGCAGGCTTTAAATACTTATATTAATCCTTGTTTTTGGTATAACGACTTTCACATCAGGAGGATGTCCCAAAGCGCTTCACAAGATTTGTAATGAACTGGAGTGCTGTGTGTTTGTAGGCGAATGTAGCAGCCCAATTACGCACAGCAAATTTCCTTGTCCTCTACCTGGTACCTCAGAGCTACACGGCTGAACTCCACAGATCAATGGGCCAGCAGCTAGTGGGCGTGACCCTCTATCTGCCGGCTCAAGATCAGCATAGCTCTGAAGCTCGACTTGCTTCACCATCAAGACAGACACCTGTAAAAGTGTTTCCTAACAACACTAACAAGCCAGCAACATTACCGATGGTGCCTCAGACCTGAACTGCTGTGTCGGGTTCACAATAAGGAAATATTTTCTGGTCATTCTGTGTGTAAAAGTTTCCAAATTGCCTACAGATCTGAATTTTCAAAGAGTTGTTTTCTTCTGTGCCTGCAGCCAACTCCCGGGCATCCTACAGTAGCCAGCACAGCCACCTGGGCTCAGACCTGCGGACATTACAGTCCCCAGAGCACCACATTGATCCAATTTATGAAGACCGAGTCTATCAAAAACCCCCAATGAGGAGCTTAAGTCAAAGTCAAGGTGATCCACTGCAGGCATCACTCACAGGGACATATCGCACCAGTACAGGTAATGTGTGAGAAATTATTCAGGCAATGTGTGTACAATTATTCAAGTAATGTGTGTAGGTATTCAGATAATGTGCATACAGTTATTCAGATAATGTGTGTACAGTTATTTGAATAATGTGCATACATTAGCCAGTCATTTTATGTTACTTTGCCGGAGATTGGGGTTGAAAATTATATGATGACTCCTGCCAATATCTTCTCCAGTTCTGATCTGAACTTCTTAACCTCCCCTGACCTGACCTATTGGTGCAGTAACTTCTAGTCTGAGAATGCTGAATTTTCAACCCCACCGATGTATTTATACATTTTATAAATAACATTTTATAAATGTTTTATTTGCCCTCTCTCTCCTCTACATTCCTTTCTTTTCCCCCCTCCAAAATGTATACATTAGAATGTTCAGTGCCGGAAAACGTTATTACTTAGCCTGGCCTTTCTTAAAATTAAGTGTTAAAAGTTCTTGTGACAGAATATTTGGGATTTACCTAAAAGTTTGGGGGTCTGTTTCCTTTGGTGTTTTGCGCACTGCCCTTTTTCAGATTTTGAGTCCTGGGATTCACAAGTTGTTTGCAATACAATATTAATGCATCAATTCAGATTTGTGAATAAGGCAGGATTCCAAGGCAAATTAGACCCCCATCACTATGCTGACCATGCAGGCAGTATATTGTCATCCCAGGTTTGGGATGAAGTATTTATTGCTGTTTTCAGCTTCTTGTTGCAAATGTGCTGTTACAGAAATAAGAGCAGGTTTGTTCAGCCAGATCAGTGACTGGGGAACAATGAATTCTCTGGCTGTATCCACCCCAGGATCCATTGGATTGTTTATTATTTTTATTCAGTCTTTTAGTTCTATGTGCAGCTCTTAAAGTTGTGTCAGAAAAATCAATTTCCCATTTCTGAAACAACAAGCTCTGCAGTCGCCATGAAAATCCAACCCGCAGTCTGCTTCTGTCAGAACATGCAGTGAAGGAGCGGTGGGTATCGCGCTGTACTAGCAAATTATGCAGCCTGCCTCAGGACTGTACAGACTTGTTTTGACCTAAACATAATTCAGTGATCCCACAGTGTGCACACCTTGAGGTCAGATTCATTGCTGTTCCTAGATATTAATATCAATAGACAATGGACACACACCTATCCTTGCTTCATAGAACATCAAATTAACTTGAACCTAGCTCTGATGCACATACAAAACATTTAGCAGGTGCAATATTCAATGGCCAAACTAACCTTGTAATTTCAGGATTCTATCGGCCAGCATGTCCTTCATTATGTGTTTTATAGAATCAGGTAAAAGTGAGAGGAGTCTCAATTTAAGGAAGTGAGTAAGCTCAGGACACAGTGCAATTAAACTGCAGTCTCGGTGTGAAAATGCTAGTCGTGCATCAGGTTGCAGTTTATGACAAAGGAGTTCAGCACAGAGGTTTTTTTTGTAAAGAAAATATTTGATTCTAATCTGCACTGAAGCTTATTATACTATGGAAAATACTAAGTATTATTTTCAAGGCTGCCCCATACACATACCCTCTGTGGCTAAGAGAACAGGTTTGAACCTGTAGAAAATCCACCTGAGTCTGGATTTACACTATTTGATTTGTATTTTAGTATCCTGAATTAGCAAATTTTTAACTGTATTCTTACCTTTAAAGCTGTTTTTTGGAGGTTATTTTAAGAACAACAGAAAAGTAGCTTGAAAATGAGAACTCCATTTAAGGATTTTACAAATTCTGTGTTGCTCTGAAATGCTAAGGAAATAGTAAGTCTGGAACCAGGCGGAACTTCTCTGCTCCATCCCGATGAGTTGTGAAATGTATATCTAGGGGAGGTGTGAAGGAAGATGACATGCTCACAAACATTCCCTTCCGCACTGTAGGGAGTACCTGGCCCCACGCAGTGCAACTAAGACTGGGAGCTCAAGCACGTTTGAAGTGGGGCCACCTCTAGGATGTTGTACTAGATATTAAAGATCCCCAGGCACTATTCAAAAAGGCAAAGGAGTTTCTCCTGGTGTCCTGGACAACAAACCCACATGAAATTGGTCATTCACTTCATAGCTGTTTATGGAACAATGCTGTGTGCAGAATTGACTGTCGGATTTGCTCCACAAAATACACAGTCCTGACACTTTTCAGTATATCCTGTGATGCACTTGGGACATCCTCCCAAAGTGATAGGTGCTGTACCAAATGCAAGGACTACTATTATTTATATTATAGACCAATGCCAACTCCAAAAGCATTTGTGATCTCTCATCTGCTATTAAAAGTTGTCATCTTTCTATCAAAGGTTACACTGCAGGACTTTAATCACCTTGACTCTCCTCCCCCCACTCGCAGAGTGCATTATGTTGAACTCTAAAGTGTCCTATTTCCCAGCACTAAGATCCTTGATGAGTGTAACATTCACTAAACACATTATGATCTAACCTTTTTTATTTCAAATGGTCACCTCGTTAGGATTGAGGTCAGAAAGTATTTATTTTATTTATTTCTTCACACAGAAGGTTGTGGAGATGTGGAACACTCTGCCTCACAAAGCTGTGGAGGTGGAATCAATAGAGATGTTCAAATGAGAGGTCGACAGATACTTAGGCAGTAGAGGTATAAGAATAATAATAATAATCCTTGGATTTGATATAGCGCTTTTCATGTCTTCTTGATGTCTCAAAGCGCTTCACAGAATAGACTGTAAAGTGAATTGATCGTATATTTGTGGGCGAAACGCAGCAGCCAATTGCGCACAGCAGTGTCCCACAAACAGTCGTATTAACAGTACTAAGGGGTATGGTGAAGAGGGAATGGTATTGAGATTTAAAAATCTGCCAAAATGTAATAAACTGGTGGAGCAGGCTTGATGGGCCGAATGGCCTCCTCCTGTTCCTGTTTTTCTATGTTCCCATTGGATTTATGGGAGAATTTACTCCATAATTTGTGTCGCAATCAGAAAACAACTGAATCCTAATGTTGTCGTCCATGTGCTGTGAGGTGAACCCATTTCTGGGATGTAAATTGTCTCATGAAAATGTTATCACACAAAGAAGCCATTCAACCCATTGACTTTTTGTAAGTGTTAGCTCCTCTTTGTATCCATCCAGTCTAATCCTATTTCCTCTTCTTTCCCCCACACTCTTTTATTGCTTTATTCTGCATGTTTACCTAATTCCCTTGGAAATAGCATGATCGACTCTGATTTAATAACCCGTAAGAAAATTTCAACCTCTACCCTTTTTGTTTCTCTTATCTTTAATAATCTTGAGTTGTGATCCCTCAGATAATCCATCCCTCTTTTATCTCAAAATGTCAAACAGGTCTGTCAAATCCCTCTTAATCTTATGGAATCAGAGAAAGTACAGCATAGGAGGAGTCCTTTTGGCCCATTGAGTGTAAACTGGTGCTTACTTACTAACTGCAACTAACTGTAGCTAACTTGTAATTATGATTTCCTGCTCTCTTATATCCTTTCTTTTCAAATGTTTATCTAATTTCCTTTCAAAGGCTACCACAGTCTTAGACTCAAAACAACTGGTACCAAAGCATTCCATATTCGGATAGCTCTCTGCATGGACAATTTATGCTAACCTCCCAATCTTTTCACCAGTAAACACAGACCTATGAGGTTTTGTTGAGCCTTTCATCATACCCATATCTTCTCATCTCTGTTATCATCCGATGAATCCACATTCCCAGTTCTGTGCCCTCTGTGACAACTGGAGCAGGTGCTTTCTATGTCTTGCATTTTCTCAGGACCTAAATGAATGTATATTACATGTGCTGCTGTAACAATATAGGTGCCGTAAGAGGCTATTGCAGTGTTGTAAATTCTGTGGCACCGTTGAAGATGTCTCCTTTGAATTTCATTTAATCTCTTCTTTCCTTCTCTCCCAGCTGCTGGTCTGACCAGGGGGAATTGTTTTGTTTCCTTTATTCAGAATTTTTTTTTAAGAAGCGCTGCAGGTGAAGCTTAGCGATCAGTGGAAACAATGAACATTATGGCATACGTACATCAGCTTGAGTTTAGCCCTCAGAGACAACACGTGATCAGCACTTAGCTTCACCTTGTGCCACCACAGTCAACTCTCCCAACATACATAGGCTTATTACTCACAATTGCCCCAATTAATGTCTTGATGAGGGACATGCTGTGCTACAAATGTTTCCATCAATTCTTTTTTCACACATTGCCTCTCTTTTCTATTCCTTCTTTTCACCCTTTCTCTCCTTTTTTCCGTCCTCTTCCCCCCTTCCCTTCCTACTTCATAATATAAAGTAATGTAAAATCTTCAAGTGTAAAATAATGTCATGCAGTACCTTCAAATTCCTTCAGCTATACCAACAGTTGGGTGAAAAAAACATTTAACACTGAACTTTGGGTTAATGAATTGTCCACTCTGGAGTATAAAGACACCAGCATTTCCTGTTACACTATGCTGCTCCCCAGTGATCCTTGCCTCAGTTTGCTCATCCAAGCTTTGTCAGTATTAGACCAAGGCTTGTGACCTTCCAGGCTACCCTGGAGAACGCTAAGCTAAGCATTTAGATTTCCAGAGTTTCACCTCTGCTCTGTGTAATGTACCAGTTGATCCTTGGGGTAAGCCCCTTTGAGAATGCTGGCTGATGTTATTGCCTGCATTTCCCTCGCTACCCCCTCAACCAATGCTTCAGTATCAAGGCCTAGTTCCAAACTTGCAACTGTGCTGTCCCTGATCCAAATTAAGAACCACAGGACAGTGTCAATTTTGTTAGCCCCAATGTAGTCTTAACACATAGGTTACATTGGAAATTAAAGGGAGTCAGTAAACTGGCCTATTGTTCCCTCATTGGTGACTTTGACATTTTGGTGAAAATTACTTTCAAATGAAAAAGTGGTCTGAATGGTCAGTGGCTGGCAATGTCCACAAGGTAATAATGCACTGTGTCTGAGTGAATTGGGCTTTTTTTGTCTTGAGTTAGAAGTTGTATATTTTGAAACATCAAGCCCTTCTTGGAGTCCTGTACC